TTTTAGCACATATTTATGCTGTTTTAGTAGGTAATTTTCATGTTAGACATTAATTTTTCATCATACTGCTGCTACTACAGTGAGTTACTTGTCTTGAACAGAGTTCTATATAAATGTGATCCTTTTTTCCATCCTTTATGGCAAAAAGATCTTTATTAATTTTCATAAGTAGACTTAAGTTTTTTTTCCCTTTTACTAGTATTACAGAATGCATCTTGTGATACATTTTCTGTACTTAAGAATTATAAACCACATAAAATACTTAAAAATGTAAAAGCCAGGCCAATTTTTACTGTAAATCTCTGATTCTGAGATGATCCAGTTCTTTAATCAAAAGTGTTACTGCACAGGCCTGGCCAGTGTGGCTCATTTGGTTGGAACGTTGTCCTGTACACCAGAAGGTTGGAGATTCGATTCCAGTCAGGACACCTACCCAGGTTGCTGGTTCAATCTCTGGTTGGGGTGCATGTTGGAGGCAGTCTATTGATGTTTCTGCCTCTCTTTCCCTCTCAAATCAGTAAACGTATTTTAGAAAAAAGTTTTTGTGTATAGGACAATGTCCCTGTAATTGCAAAGAATAAATGTGCGTGTAAACCAAGGAAACAATTCATTTGGAAAAACCAGCTATATTGTCTATATTGTCTAATGACAATGTAAAGCTATATTGTCATTACACTGTATTTTGCAAGTCAGCCACCTCTGTTGAGGTTAACTTTTAAAGAACAAGAAGCTTATATTTGTTTATGTTTGCATTGTGAGGGAGGATGATAATGATTTTGATTATAACGAAGTTGGAATAATTCAATTTTGCTAAGGAGGTAGACAGACAGACAGACTTTGTTTTTATTGTAAGCAGTAGTAGAAGTAAAGAGTGACAAATTTGAAATTGAAAATTATACTTTTTACATAGGATAAATTGCTTTCAAATGGTAACGAGAAAATTAATTTTCTGAATGTGTGCTTAATGGTTAAGTTCTGAGATGGCTGCCACTGAAGTCAAGGTAAATCTAGGAATCCACCTCATTTCATATTATCTGGGCTATTACTGTGATTGATAGCCTTTTATCCCCAAAGTCAGTCTACACTTTGGATGGTTGGATCAGCATAGTTTTCACTGCTGTGGTTAGAGAATAAGGGAAAGGGCCTGTGAAGTGAAAATGTCAGTACTGTATTTCATGTGAGTGCAGTACTTAATATTACCATGTTTTATCCTGTTGGTCATTATTATGTATAGATAGCAAATAAGTAATGTCTTAAGTTTTCTGTGTCCTTTTGGGTGAGGTTTTAATGAGACTCAAGTTGTTTGAAATAGTCATTTGGGAGATTGGGAAGGCAGGTGTCAAGCTTATTTGTTAATTATGGTCTTTTTAATGATGTGAATATGCCAGTGGTCTCTGCTGCTGTATGTCGGTGTAGAGGAAGAGCATAGATGGCTTCATGGATGAGCATGCTTAACCACAGGGATGTGGAAAAAGATTCGGGGGTAGAAGGAGATAGGGCAGTAATGTCTCAGAAAACTATGTTGTGAAATCAAGCTGGTTGCATAGGGACATTAAAGGAGATCCGATGGTCACGAAGAAGTGGGGAGACACCAGAGAACTGGGAGCCTGGTGAAATAGGCATAGTTGAATATTGGGAAAGAAGGATATTCTTTTTAGAGTGATTGCTTGATACACTGATTTTGGAAGTTTGTGATGGTAAATTGATTATGGCATGATGACATGTAAAGGAGACTGCTTACAATTATTGGGGATCAGGGTCAGTAAGAAGAGAGAACATGTTAGTGTGTATGTATAAGAATTCGATTTGCTTTCTAATCACAGATTATCCAAAATAAAAATAACCAAGTAAAATATAATTTACTTCCTCATTTAAAAGAAGGTTTTATATTGGCAGTACCCAGTGTCAGTATGCAAATTCCATGAAATCATTAGGGATTCACATTCTTTCCCATTTCAAATCTAGAAACAAGCAATGTGATTACCATTTCCAAGGTTGCTTGTGTCCAAGATGTCCACTGGAGTTTCAGTCATCCCGTTTTTATTCGAGGCAGCAGGGAAGAAAAAGGGGAAAGGATAAGTGAAATCTTGCCCCTGCTCTCATTTCCCACTTTAAGTTGACTTTCCAGAAGTCTCTCCCAACGGCGTCTGGTCGATCGATGTTAGTCTTATTTAGATGGCCATAGTTTGCTTTGAGGAATATTGGGAAATGTACTATTTTGGCTGGGCACATTACAACCTCCTAAGAATGTCTTGTTAGTAAGCGAGATGGGAAGAATGGATGTAGAAAGGCACCTCTCAGGCCCTGCCAAAAGTACTGGTTATCTGTGTGAACAAAGAGTTTGTTGGAAGAACACCAAGGTCCATGGGCATAACAAGATCATGAAGAGGGTGGCATGAGCCCTAGACCAGCATGTTAGAAGACACTGAGAAAATGCTGGAATGTAAGTAGCTGTGGAGTACAAAGAGAAAACCAGTCATACTTGTCAATCCTGAGAATGTAAGAGAATTAAAAATTACTACTCGAAAGGGCTGCAAATGATTTCTATAAGTGACATCCAGGTTGTCATCAAGACAAAGAGAGAAAAGGAATCTGAGGAGATGCTTGGATACAGTAGAAGGAATGGGGGCATGGGGAAGAGGCATGGGCTAGGTGGGGGCAAGAAAATACCATTTATACTCAGAAGGAGTGAGAATGCAGTGAACACTGATTCTTAAGCTTTTGGTCACATGAATTAATCACAAATCTCCAATATATTACATAAATCATCTATAAATTACATTTATGCATTGGTGTGCTAATACTGTGTGTATTATAAAAGGTATAGAAAATAGAAAGTTTAGCCCTGGCTGGTGTGGCTCAGTGGATTGAGTGCTAGCCTGCAAACCAGCAGGTTGCAGGTTTGATTCCCAGTCAGGGCACACACTTGGGTTGCATGCCAGGTCCCCAGTAGGAGGCATGTGGCAGGCAACCACACATTGGTGTTTCTCTCCCTCTCTTTCTCTCCCCCCTCCCCTCTGTCTAAAAATAAATAAATAAATCTTTTTTAAAGGATAAAGATGAACAAGCATAAGTTGGTATATTGGGTCTGTGTCAACTCTTGTCAAAATAGTAGCTGATCCCTAGATGGGTCAAACCCTTAAATTAGATTTGTGGGAATAAATACAGTAGTAAAGTAAACCTTAAACTCTAAAACATGAGATAGCCCTAAAAACTTAAGCATTAAAAAGTAGTTCCTTCAGACAAAATTATTAAAATTAAAAGCACACAGAATATACACAGTATTATATCTATATTAATACATTTTTAAAGAAGATGTGACTGGGTAGACATCATTGAATTGGAAAGTACGAAGCTGTATTATAAACTAGAAAATAAAACAGCAGTAGACCCAGTAGACCAGGTAGGCTAAGGAAGCAGGATGTACAATTACAGAATTAGGCCCTTTTATCCCATGGAAACTTAATACGTGATAATGAATTGTAAAAGTGGCATTTAAATCAGTGGGGCAGAATGAGCTATTGTCTATTCAGAAAATGTTTAGAGAAGGCCAAGTACTTGTCTGTATGCAAACCAAATATTAAAATTGCAGTCATCGTGGAGTTTAAATTCTAGCTGAAGTAGAGACAGGATAAATAAATAGAAGATAATTACATGATGTTGGGAAAAGTAAAACAGGGAATGAGGACAGTGTTCACAAAATTCCTTTGGGCGGGGGTGTGGGGTGGGACATGTTCCTACTTCATACTGTATGAAGTGCAACCACAAGCCAATTTGTTAAAAAGCAAATAACCGAATAGAAAACTTGGTGGAAGTTTTTTCTTTTGTTTTGATAGATATTCCTAATTCATAAAGGAGGATATAGGGCTATTCAGTAAATACCTATTTAGTAGTCAGGAAAATGGAAAACCAAATAATGAGATATCATTTTCAACCCTGAAATTGGCAGGAAGTTTAGTAATACATTTTTAATGAGTTGGGAAGAAATGGGTTATTTTATATGTACGATATAATGGTATGTTAGTACAGTAACCTGTCTGGGGGAACAGTTTAAGAGTAGCTCTCAAAATGAAAAAGGTACGCATTCTATGACCCAAGAATTCCACTTCTTGATATCTGTCCCAGGGAACTCTCAAATGCATGCACAAGAAAGTATGGTAGGGCAACATGACTTGTAATGATTAAAATCTGAGAGCTGCCTAGACACGTTTTAGTCACAATCATGTGTCCGTACTGTGGAGCACTGTAGTCCAAACACAGACCTCCAAAACATAGTGTTGCATGTAAGAGGAAATTGCAGATGACATGTACACACCAGTGGTAACAACAGTTATCACCTAACTCTTCACAGCTCTTGTCATTGAAAAAGGTGTTAGAATCCCTGGCAGGCATAGCTCAGTGGATTGAGCGCAGGCTGGGAACCAAAGTGTCCCAGGTTCGATTCCCAGCCAGGGTACATGCCTGGGTTGCAGGCCATAACCCCCAGCAACCTCACATTGAAGTTTCTCTGTCTCTGTCTATCTCCCTCCCTTCCCTCTCTAAAAATAAATAAATAAAATCTTTAAAAAAAAAAGAAAGAAAAAGAAAAAGCTATTAGAGAAGTCTTCTGCTTTAGCCTTATCTCTAATGTTTTCATTAATTTTTTAAAGAGGATATTTTTATTGGCATATGTAAAAATGATTCAAACAATTCTTTTTATTAGCCTCAGCTCAAATCACAGTTCCCATTATTCCAGCCCATGTTGCATTTTTATCAGCATCACCTGTCTGACACTTGGCACATGGTCTCGCACATGTGGATTGCTTTTCTGAGTGACCCAGCTTACCAGTCAAATCACAGGTCCCTCTGACAGCTTAGGACCTAGTCTTCTTTTAACATGCCAAAAGAAAATGCCTTACTTGGTAAAAAATGGTTATCACATCATGGATTGTTTGCATTCTTAGAATAATATTTATTGTTCTTTATATTTGTAAATAAGACTCATTTCCCTTTTTTTGTAGGTCGTTTATATGCAATGCAAACTGGAATGAAGATTGATAGTAAAACTCCTGAATGTCGTAAATTTTTATCAAAGCTAATGGATCAGTTAGAAGCTGTGAGTTAAAACTGTGATCGTTTATTCTCTGATCAGTGTTTAAAATGCTATTTTATTTCATTTGTGTATTTATGTGTGGTCATTTTAGTTCTTTCCCTTGGCAGCAGTCAGCTATGTTATCACAGCTGAGGAAAAAATAAACACAGTTTGTTTGTTTTTTTTTAACTTTTTTATATCATGGGAGTTATAAGCAAAATTCAAAATAGGACCCATCATCTTTGCATATACCATTATATCTTGTTCCATATTGTTATAGGTGGCCTTTGAGTCATCCTTTCATAAGTGATGAACCTGTTCTGACCTTCAATCTTAGAATAATATTTATTGTTCTTTATATTTGTAAATAAGATTTGGATGCAGGTGATTGAAATGGGTTATTTATTTAGTGAAAGGAGCAATGAAGTAGATATCAGTTGTCTCTCCTCTCTTTCTCCGGCTCTCGGTCACCTTGAATTTCACAGATTATGGAGAGATACCACTGTATAATTTTTCAGGTTATTTATAAATGTTGAAGGTTATTCTGATCAAAGCCTAGTTGTATTAAGCAACATTAAATCCCTTTTGGGATTTAATTTCTTCTATTGTAATTATGAGAATATTTATTTTGGTGAAATTTGAAAAATCCTGCCCTGGCCAGTGTGGCTCGGGTGGAGTGTCATGTCATGGACTGAAGGGCTGTGGGTTCAACTCCTGGTCAGGACAGCTGTCTGGGTTGTGGGTTCATTCTTGGTCGGAGCACGTGCCAGAGGCAACCAGTTGATGTTTTTCTCTCGCATCCATGTTTCTCTCTCTCTCTCCCCCCACCTCCCTTCCCTCTTCTCTCTAAATTTAGTGAGTATGTCCTTAGGTAAGGGTAAAAGAATAATCATTTAAAAAAAAAAAAAAAATTTAAAAAAGAAGAAAAATCCTAAAGCCTTTTTTAAATATAACTTTTTATTTTACAATGTCTTTGAGAAAAGCTATTTTAAAGCAGTTGTATGGTGCTAAGATTTAATATTTCAGGAAGTCATTTATTTCAGTGTGACAGTCTGAGTAAAATGTAGGAATTTAGTGTATTGTTTTTTAAATACTTTATAGAATGTATAAGAAAGGCATACACTGACTGGAAATTTACACAGTTGTAAGTTGTATTGATTTGAGGTTTATATTTGTCTAAGTTTTAAAAACTTTCATAATCCAATTCTCTAAGTTTGTCATCTATGAGGTCTATCTGGAAAAAGCCCGGCCATTATTAATGTAAAGAGAACAGACCATGCAACATGGATGTAACCTGGCAGCCAAGGAGAGTGGACTGGAATACACGTACATGAACAATGACGACTTCACTGTACTAGTCAGTGGGGTGGGGGGTAGATGCCATTGAGTGAGCATATGCACTGTGTGACCATCACATTCTAAATGATTGAGCAAGTAGAGCAACAAATCTGCATCAAATTTTGCATGAGATTTGAACATTCCCCCTCAGAAGCTGTTCAGATGATTCAGAAAGCCACAGCTAACTGGTGATTAGCAGCTTCATCATGACAGTGTAGACACACTGTCTACAAAGTTTTTTGACGTAACTTCAAATCACCCAGGTGACTCAGCCCCACTACATCCCAGAACTAGAGCCCTGCAACTTCTGGCTTTTCCCAAAACTAAAATCACCTTTGAAAGGGAAGAGTTTTCAGACCTTTGATGAGATTCAGCAAAATACTACAAGGCAGCTGGTGGCAACTGGGAGAACTGTGGGAAGTCTCAAAGTGCCTGCTTGGAAGGGGACTAAGACATCATTGCCCTGTGTACAGTGTTTCTTGTATCTTGTTTCTTTTTCAGTAAATGCCTCTTTTTCATTTACATGGCTGGATACCTTCTGGACAGACCTCATATACCTTACTTAGAAATCTCTCTTTACACATGTGCTCTGAGAGATACTATTTTAGGATATAGTGCTCCTTTTAACCTTTTTTATTAATTTCATAAGAAGAAATTAAAATGGGAATAAATGAAAATTTTAAGTTGTATATGGTTAGGAAAAAATTTTCTGATTCCAATTTTAGGGTACTGATAGTACATTGGAATATATTACTTTGAAATATGTGTGATGCTTTAAACTAAATACTTGGACGTGGTATCTTTGTATTCTTGGTTATTTTGACTTTTAGAACTAAATTATGCTTTCAGGTTATCATATACATGTTCCTTTAAAATTTTGTGAACATAGGTTCTGTTTTAAATATTTTGGACTGAGGCAGAGCAATTTTTTTCTTTGCAAGAATTCATTGATAAGTCTTATTGAAATAAATATAAAATAATTTATTTAAAATGATTATTAGGATAATTTATACTTAAGTATATATTTCTGTAAGTCCAAAATTATAAACTTTGTATTTGATTTTCTTTTAGCTTAAGAAACAGTTGGGTGATAATGAAGCTGTTAGTCAAGAAATAGTTGGCTGCGCCCATTTGGAGAATTATGCTTTGAAAATGTTTTTGTATGCAGACAATGAAGATCGAGCCGCACGGTTTCACAAGTAAGTACAGCCAAAGAAAACTAAAAGTGGTAAGTTTACCTACTCTATACCAGAATTATCCAGTTTTGATTGAACACTTTTTGACTTTCTAATTAAATGATTCAGATTTTTCAAAATTACTTTTAGAATCTCAGGATGATTCTGACCCAGGACAGATTTATATTTTCAGTAAATATACTCTAACTGGCCATTCTTTCACATTTCTCAAAATCTTAAGAGTTGACTTTAGCCAAAAACAGCCTGATTCTGTGATGCTGATTTTAAGAACTCCCACTCCACTAATTCAAACGATTTGTCATTATTATTATGATACTTAAATGAAAGAAATTCTCCTGGCTTTATATGCATTTAGCTGATACTATAATTACATTATCTAAGATCACATGTTCTCTCTAAAACCTTACTGTGCCATATGTACCTTTATATGAGTGTTGTTACTTTCTCCTAATAACCAGTTACAGGAGGAGCTTCATTATATTCTTAAAATCTGATTTCGTTTAAAATATTAAATTTCAGAATGTTTTGATAAACATTGGAATTTTTTTCTTGTAGCTACATGACTAATTCTACATCTTAATGTTTTTGCTTTAAACTAGACTAGTTCTCTTTTCTCTTCCAGAAACATGATCAAGTCCTTCTATACTGCAAGTCTTTTAATAGATGTCTTAACAGTGTTTGGAGAACTCACTGATGAAGTGAGTGTATATTCTTTAAAACTCTTTAATATTCTTTATATTCTTAATAACTAAAGATTAGTATTGTTGCCATTATTCAATTTTATTATGACCATGTTTATTTGGAGCAGTGTATCTGTCTGAAATGTAATGTAAGCAAAAAGTTGAATTTTAAATTTGCTATACATTTTAGAAAGTATAAGCAAAAGATATTTTTAATAATACATACACTTATTGTAGTAAGTTCTTTAAATTCAGATGTGTATTTTACCCTTCAGCAAATGCACAACTACAGTATTGAGCAGCACAGATTTTGAGTTTCGTGTTATTAGGTGTTTAAATATTACTAAACCTGTATGCTATCAGGTTTCTTCCCTGATATTTGGTAAACATAGTGCAGGCAGAGACTTTTTTTAGGACTTTTTTCTATTTCATTTCTACTGAGAAATATTGTTTATGATTCTCTTGCAAAATACATGTAGAACATGATATTACACAAACTGTTTATTGATGTGTTTCTCATAATCATTCTAAGGTAAGTAGCGTGCACACTCATTTTAGATGAGCAAATCGAGGCTAAGTGACAGACATTGCTGGGAGATCAGTGTTGTTTTCACTGTTGCAAGAAAATTTGTCCTCTGCGAAGGGAGGTACTAATCTACAAAGAAGTAGGGGGAAAGAAAACCGTATAGAGACTGATAAAAGCATGCTATATTGGTTATTTGAAATCTATGAAGAACATTGCTGTCTGTGATACGATTTTTTTTCCAAAATGATGAACAGCTCATAGTAAAGTTCCAAACAAAACAGTATAATCTATGAGATATTTGCATTTTTGTAAAACAATTTATCAAAGCTGTGCAAAAAATTCTTTATGTTTGTTTGTAAAATGAAGTTTTGGTGGTTAAAAGCTGGGTTTTTGCATTGGCAGAGTTGTGCTGGACATTTCAAAATTGTGCTGAATGAGAGACAACTTTTTGTGTGATTGTTCCTTTGTTTCAAAACACCAAGCATCCCTGGCTCTTGCCTACACGTCATTCCCTAGCATTCAGACAACCAGAAAGCACCCCAGATATTTCCAAAACTCCTTCTAGTGCGGGGACAATGCCCACCGAGAGCCACGGCTGTGTAGTCTGAGACAGAGGAGCATGAGAGGAAATGGAGACCTGGAGTGGGAACCCTGAAATGCTTCCCAACGGGTGGCCTGTTCTGTATTCTGAAGGCCTGGTGGATCCACACTGTTTAGTTCCCTTTCTGCTGCCATCTCCAACTACTCATCTGGGTTTCCTTTTCACTCTGTTGTGGTAGTATGGGGCACTATACTAGATACTTGAGGATGTCGTGGTGATTTAAACATGGCATTACGGAAAGCTTTAGGTAGTTCAGTATAGTTTGGAGAGTATCAGGCACGCAAAATAGAATAATGGACCTCATATTAGAAAAGTAGTCAGGTCAGAAGAAATCCTACAGAGAAGAAGGGAGAAGAAAGTCAGTGTCGGAGTGAGCATGCTGAACACCTAAGGCCTTCTCTGTGACATTTGTACATAAAGACTTTTGGTCTTCCAATGAAATTCTTTTTAAAAAATAGAGAGCTTTTTTGTGTTTTTTGTTTGTTTGTTTGCTTGTTTTTTGCAAAAGCCACTGGTTCACCAGCTAGAGTACTGCAATTTACATAATTGCTTTCCACTTCTCTTTCTGTGCAACCTGTTCTTTGCTGTCAACGTTTTCTGAAGAACCTAGGGACTTTTCATTTGCATTGCAAGTTCATCCTATTTCATGTTTGTCAGGCCAGTCTGCTTACCATCCCCCTAGCTTTCACCACCAAGAACTTTGTAGTTTTTGCTTGCTTTAAGTTTTACCTTCTCTTGAGTCTTAGCTACATTGTTCTAGGCCTTACACGAATTTCCCCATTCTCTGAACTCTTCCACCATTAGAGCCTCAACTCTGTGAATAGGACACGATAAATGTATTGACTTGGGTTTAAGTGCAGTTTGCACAAAGAGTAAATACAGTGACTAGTTAGAATTTCAAAAGTTATTAATAGTTTTAACTTTTTATTTTTGTCTGTACATGGAAATAACGTTCAGACCTGTTTACACAGAACATTCACAACTCTTCTGAAGTGTAATAGATCTCAACTACTCACAGTATTTTGGTCTATTTCCTGAAATTTTTTTCTCTTTTAATTCCATGTCATTACTCATAGTTGCACAAAACTAAATAAAGTCTGTATTTTCTTTCATCTTTCACTGTTTATATATGTGTGTTTTATCTGCCACTGTTCTGTTTTTCAACTTTCCAATTCTGTTTGAGGGATACATATTGAACTCTTTTAACTGTGCCTTACATAATTCCATCTCAGTATTTAATTAAATTGGTTGTTATACAAACTTCTAGCATTCCTGTAGCTTCTTGGGTTCAGTGTCCCAGTTTTAGCTACAGAGTCACCAGAATAAACTTTAACTTTGTATTACAAAGAAAGAAATGTTCAAAACATATTTCATTTTCTTACTATTTTCTTACCTCTTCATTACTCTATTGTCAGTTATTGATAGGCTATTTTTTGTATTTTAGATTTATATTATTTCTAGCAATGTCTTAAGGAACACATACCATTTTTACCCTTTTTCCTTTATAGTTTTTGCGTTAAGCTTAATATTGCTAATTAGGAAGAATACGAAAATCACTTATTAAAGATAATGCTCCTCTTATCTCTTCAGTTTCTGCTAATTTGAAGGAGTCAAATGACTATGGTATGTGTTCCCGCCCACACAGACCTTGTGTTCTAACTTGGAAAAAGAAGCAAAGTAACTAACTATAGCAAGAGGTGGTCTGGTAATGATAAAATACAGGGAAGGGGTGCACTTCTACCACCTGTCTGGCACCATACTTAGGTGCTTTAAATATATTTTGTTCCATTTTTTCAACTGCGAGTTACAGTGAGAGAACTGAGGGCCAGAAAAATGTAAGTACCTTGTCTCCAGATGCCATAGCCAGAACAGTTCTCAGACCCTGAGATAAAGATCCAGCTTTTTTCTGCTTAATTTTGCAGTCTGTTGCAGACTGATTGTTTTATAAAATACAAGTAATAATTAAATTACTAGAAAGGTGAAACTTAAAATTAAGACATGCAAAATACAACCTGGTCTGCACTAAGTTTCCTAAATACTCTCAATTTCTCATTTATTTTGTCACAAACTGGTGAGCAGTTTGCACACTAGCACTTGTTCTGGACCCGTATTTTGTGTAGCACTGACCTAGATCCCTCTGTGGAAGACCCCAGTGAATCCTATTTGTATCCCAGTCTGGACGTTTGCTTCTGGAGAGACAGGGCTGCAACACAACTGGAGCAGCTGTGTGCACGTGTAGCCACCTGGAAGGAAGTAGTCTGTTTATGGTACCCCTCACACTGTACATTTCTGCATTACGCACCATCTTACCACTATCCTAGAAAACCATGAAAAAGTGGGAGAGTTTTATCTAATTACAGAGGCATGTGTTTTTGCATGCGGTGTTAGTACAAAGTGGTTCAGAACACTACAGGCATTGGCTTCAAATTGTACGTGCTACTTCATAGCTGGGTAAGTTATTTGACTTACGTAAGCCTGTTCCCACATCTGTTAAATGAAGAAAATTGTGATACCCACTTCATCAAGTTGTCCTGTGTATAAAATGAGAAAATGTATATAAAGCCTTCAGCAAAGTACCTAGCAATAGCAAATGCTTAAAACAATTAGTTCTTACTTTTATTAGTTGATGGATAATGTTCAAGTGTAATGCATTTAGAGAGGACATCGGCAAATACATGAAAATTTTAATGGAAACTACTCTAAACTGCTCAATCTTATATATTAAATGAATTCATTTAGAAATAGATTTGCATTATATATTGGTATTAACTATATGGAGGTCCAACATGTGTGATTGGAGTTCCAAAAAAAAAGAGAACAGGAATAAAATGTAAAAGGAAAGATTTTGAAGAAATAGTAACCATAGATTTTTCTAAATTGGGTAAAAAAAAAAGTTATGGATCTAAGAAGCTCAGTGAACCCCAAGTAAAATAAATACAAAGAAAACTATAGCTGAGAACATCATAATCAAACCAATGAAGTTCAGCGATAGAAGAGAAAACCTTGAAGGAGCAGTCTTGGGAAACAGCGCACTGTACACAAGGTGACAATGCTTTCAAGGATGGCTGTTGACTTCTCACTTTTTAAAAAGTTTGCAGGATGGTAATAACATTGATATATTAAAGTACTGAAAGAAAAAAATAAGCAAATAAACTCTGTCAACTTAGAATTCTATAAAGAGCAAAGGTATCCTTCAAAAAGCAAAGTAAATTGAGACATTTTCAGGCAGTTTAACTCATTGCTAGCTAATGTGCACTAAAGATCTAAAGCACTAGAGAGCAGAGATTTTCAGTCTGAAGGAAAATAATACCAGGTGGCAACTTGGATTTATAGGGAGGAGTGAAGTACATTGGACATAGTATGTAGGTAAATACATATTTTTTAAAAAACTATAGATATTTTAAGAAATATAAACATATTTAAATAAATAAAAATTATACCTATATGTATATATTCGTTTTTTATCTTCATAGTATTTTTTTCCATTACCATTTAGTCCCATACACCCCTCTCCCCGCAGCAGTCACCACACTCTTGTCCATGTCCATGAGTCCTTTTTCCTTTTTGCTCAACGCAAAAGAAGGCCAGGTAAGAGAGGGGAGAGGACCAAAAACAGATGGGACTAATACAAAACATAGAGCAAATTTTAGATCAAATACAGCTGTATCAGTAAGTACCAAAAATGTAAATTTGGGCTAGCACTACCAAATAAAAATAGAGATTTTCAGACTAGATTAAAAAATAAGCTCTAACTTTATATTGTTTACAAGATATACCCTTTAAGTGTTGAGACACAGATGTTTTATAAATGAAAGAATGGAAAAAATATTCAATGCAAATACTATGTAAGCAAAATCCTAAGTGACTGTATTAATATTAGACAAAGTAAAC